CTTCTGGAGCCCACCTCAACCAATCCAACCCCTTCATCTCCATCTTCCATGACCCAACCAACCAATCCCATCCTTCTGGAGCCCACCTCAACCAATCCAATGCCCTCATCTCCATCTTCCATGACCCAACCGACCAACCATGTTCTTCTGGAGCCCACCTCACCCAATCCAACCCCTTCATCTCCATCTTCCATGACCCAACCGACCAACCATGTTCTTCTGGAGCCCACCTCACCCAATCCAAGGCCCTCCCAATGCTGACGGAGCAGCCAGCGCCCCCGGGACCTCCTTGACCTCCTCACCTGTGGAGAAGGTGCTGATGTTGAGGACGGTGGGTTGCTTCAGCGACACGTGCGTCACCCGGCACGAGAACTCGGCGCCAAGGTCCCAGCTCTGCTGGCTGACGTTGACCTGGCTGCTGAAGGTGGCCATCTTGTCAGAGCACTGGTCGCAGGTGTAGGTCACCGGGGTGACCTCCAGTGGGGCGTGGTTCTTCAGCCATTGCACCTGGGCACTGCCGGCTCCGTGGCCCTCGACGAGGCAGAGGAGGAGGACCTGACCGTCCGCCTTGTACTTGTTGGGGTCGCTCAGGAGCTTTGCCTCCACGTGGGTGGGAATACATAGTTCTACAAGATGTTGACCAAGAGACCATGTAAGGTTGGGAGCAAGGCCAAGCCATCCTAGATGTCCACCAAGATGTTGCACAAGGCTGGAACCAAGGTCAGGAGCAACACCCAGCCCATCCTAGGTGTCCACCAAGACATTGTACACGGCTGGGATCAACACCAACCCATCCTAGGTGTCCACCAAGAGATCATGGAAGGTTGGGAGCAAGGCCAACCCATTCTAGGTCTCCACCAAGACATTGTACAAGGTCAGGAGCAACACCCAACCCATCCTAGGTGTCCACCAAGACATTGTACATGGCTGGGATCAACACCCTACCCATCCTAGATGTCCACTAAGAGATCACACAAGGTTGGGAGCAAGGCCAACCCATCCTAGGTGTCCACCAAGACATTGTACATGGCTGGGATCAACACCCTACCCATCCTAGATGTCCACTAAGAGATCACACAAGGTTGGGAGCAAGGCCAACCCATCCTAGGTGTCCACCAAGACGTTGTACAAGGTTGGGATCAAGGTTGGGAACAACACAAACCCATCCTAGATGTCCACCAAGACATTATTCAAGGTTGTGAGCAACACCCAACCCATCCTAGATGTCCACCAAAGCATCGCACAAGGTTGGGAGCAACACCCAACCCATCCTAGATGTCCACCAAAGCATCGCACAAGGTTGGGAGCAACACCCAACCCATCCTAGATGTCCACCAAAGCATCGCACAAGGTTGGGAGCAACACCCAACCCATCCTAGGTGTCCACCAAAGCATCACACAAGGTTGGGAGCAACACCCAACCCATCCTAGATGTCCATCCAAGCATCACACACGGTTGGGAGCAAGGCCAACCCATCCTAGGTGTCCACCAAGAGGTTGTTCACTACCGGGCGCCCTTCTCACCTGGGATGTCCGTGGTGCTGGTGGTGCTGGTGGTGCTGTGGACCACTCTACACTGGAACCGGTTGTCCTTCACGCTGGGGCCGGGGACGGTGAGCTGGGTGCTGAGGCTGTAGTAGCTGTTGCTGCCCCGGATGGCCGGGAAGGTCTCCTCATCCCCTTTCACGCTGGAGATCCAGGTGACGGTGACGGGTTGGGGGAAGTAGTCGGTGACCAAGCAACCAAAGGTGACGTTGTCCTGGCAATCCGAGTCGCAGGGGACCAGCGGGTAGACAACGGGCTGGTTGGCCCTCACTGGGAAGGAGAAGAAGCCCAGGGGGGTTGGAGATGGAG